CATATTTGGGTATACCAGGGGTTGTGACTTTATATGTCTGTCTTATTAAATTGGAACCTTAAGGATAGATCTGCCTTGTACTCTGATTTAATTCTGCATGATATTTGGAACGCTGACAGCTAGTGACTCATTTAACTCCACCCTCCAGCTCTGCCTGCACTTTTATACCTACTAGATTTGTGTGTGTGTGTGTGTGTGTGTGTGTCTTCTTAAACAATGCACTTGGATTTTGTCGCCCAGAAAAACAATTGAAGTGTGCCGTTTAACAAGTTCTTCAACCCAAAACGTCAAAGGAGAATCAACATCACAGTATATTCAAAATGGACAGAGAAAATGACAATAAAAGTTATTTTATCTACTTTTCAGGACTATCTAGCTGCTACGCCAAAATGGCCCCTGATTGCCATTCCCACAACGTTTCGTTACTCACTTCTGCCACTCTGTGTGTGGAGCTGAATCTTGACTGCCGCCCGGCCAAAACACAATGTTGATGAGTCATATTCAGATTATCTAGAAAAAGACCATTAAAGGACAGATCATAAGTATTCACCCATAAAGCCATTGGTGGAAATGAGGGAAGCCTTAATCCAAGGCAGGTGCTGTTTCTGGGAATACAGGTAGTCCTTGACTTATAACAGTTCATTTAGTGACGGCTCAAAGTTACAACAGCATTGAAAAAAGTGAATTACAACCCTTTTTCACACTTGCAACTAATGCAGCATCTCTAGGATCACATTATCAAAATTCAAACCCTGACTCATACTTATGACGGCTGCATTGCCCCAGGGTGGGTCACGCGATCCCCTTTTTGCGACCTTCGGACAAGCAAAGTCACTTAACAACCACATTCCTCATTTAACAAGTGCCATGATTCACTTACAATAACCACAAATGAGACAAAGGCCACTTCGCCCGTGTTTCGCTTAGCAACAAAAAATGTTGTCCTCTCTCCGTTGTGGTTGCAAGCCGAGTTTTTCGCCCGGTTGCAAAACTATCCCGCCATTATTTCAAAAGCCAATACGCTCCTAAAAAGAGAAATGATTCTACAGTAGCCAGAAGAAGACCGAGCTATTTAGGGGGCTGAGGGGGAGAAACCCTTGTGTAATTAATCAACAGAAAACCCAACAAGACGTTGTAAGCTTAGCAAGCTCCGACATCAAAGTGGGAGCACCAATAAATACATTTCAGGGGCTCAGGACGGTTGGGGAAAAAAGAAATAGACATCGGCAGCACGCAGCTCAAAAGTGGGGTCAGGTTTCCGACGCAAAACCGCTGGCAGGCATCTGTATACTAAAGTGTTCCCAGTTAAGGCTGTGATTTTTCCAACCACACATCATTTCTACTCAAGGGTGCTCCCCATTTCTGGTTAAATGGGAAGACAAGTTTTGGATGGGCCTTGAAGTCTAACGCACAGACGGCCCCCTGATTATGTTTATTCTCTCTTATATTCTCCACCAAAGGGAGGCCGGTTGAATTTATCCTGGAGCTGCGTTTAAACCTCGTAACCTCCGGGCCACATTTGATCTATCAGAAACAGCTGGGAATTCAACGTGTGTATTTTCGCTTTTGGAAGGCACGGAAGCTAAAATTTGGGACCGGTATGCGGGGGGGGGGGGAATTGGCTCGCAAAATCCAGCTCTGGGTATATTTCTTGGTGGTGGAGCAGAAGGGAAGGTGTTTCAATCATGGGCCAAGGTCTAGGACAATGTGTCTTCTGTCCTTCGTTGAGCAGAGTGTAGGTAGTCCTTGGCTTACAACCGTTTGTTTAGAGACCGTTCAAAGCATGGGGAAAGGGGGCTTATGGCTAGTTTTCATCCCAATTTCAATAAGATAAAGGTAAAGGTTCCCCTCACGCATATGTGCTAGTCGTTCCCGACTCTAGGGGGCGGTGTTCATCTCCGTTTCAAAGCCGAAGAGCCAGCGCTGTCTGAAGACATCTCCATGGTCATGTGGCCGGCATGACTCAATGCCGAAGGCGCACAGAACGCTGTTACCTTCCCACCAAAGGTGGTTCCTATTTTTCTACTTGCATTTTTACATCCTTTCGAAATTGCTAGGTTGGCAGANAGAGTATTTACAAGGAAGGGAGACTATTTACAATTCAACCTCCTTGGACTTGCAAGATCTTACAAGAACATCATGCAGCACTTCAGTGGTTAAACTGACAGCAAACAGCACTCCCTACTTGCACTGATGATGTTACCTAGTTGGGTAATGAAACGTCTGCAAAAAAACAACCAAGCTCAGAGGGCACCAAGGACCGCACAGTCGTCGTCGTCGTCGTCGTCATCGTCCTCCTCCTCCTCCTCCTCCTCCTCCTCCATTCCCAACTAGTTCCTGCTCACCCTCCATTTCCAAGAGAACCACATATTTATTGTGCTTCCATCTCCCAAGTTAGATTTGATGGGTTGAATCCCAAACCAAAGGGATTAATAACAGATCAGGATCTATTTTGGAGGATCTATTTTTTTATGAGATTACCTAGTTTGGGTAATGAAACATCTGCAAGGAAACAACCAAACTCAGAGAGATCACTAAGGACTCCACAGTCTTCTTCCTCCACCTCCTTCACGTTCTCTCCTCCCTCCTCCTCGAAAACCCCACTCCCTTCTAGGACTGATGATGTTACCTAGTTGGGTAATGAAATGTCTGCAAGAAAACAAGCAAGCTCAGAGACCACCAAGGATCCCTCACTCCAGAATGAGTCTGATTGAGTCTTGAGTCAGATCTGAACAAGATCTGGAACAGGGCAGCTTGCAAGCACTTACTAGGTGATGGCAAAGTTGCGCTCAGCTATGGCTTCCAGGTGCTTGGCGTAATTGTAGTACGTCGTGCGCAGGTGCACTCGGTCCTGGGTCTCGGCTATCTCAATGGCTTTTTGCCATTGGTCCGAAGCCTGGTAGAACTTGTTCAGGAGGTCGTACCGTTGGCACTGCTTGTATAACTGCTCAGCGTCTTCCTGGAACAGAGGCCAAAAAGTTGATAAGAGAGGGATGCTGTTTGTATTGTTGTTGTCATCTTCATTATAGAATTTTTCTTTCACACGCACAAGTCCTCAACTTAACAACAGTTCACTTAATGCCCATTCAAAGTTACAACGGCGCTGCTTTTTAGGATGCTGTCTAGAGTTGCCATCTATCTTGTCACTTTAGCAGGGGTTTAATTGCAGGAGGAATCTGACTGATTGCCGAGCACGCTCAAAATAGAATCATTATGACTGTAACAGGATGTTTAAAGAAAAGCAAGGCGGGAAAAAGCACTAAACCATTCAACCTGCAGGTCACTTCAAGAACAAGGGGGGCGTCCACACCGCCAACTCCTGCTCTTCCCGGTGCTCTAGGAAACGGCTCCACACACAGCCAACTGAAAGAAAGGCCCTGCTATCTCCGGAGCCATTTCCTAGCAGGAAAAAAATAATAATTGGGGCTTGGAAAGTGCGGTCAGCCTTGAAGGGGCCTTTGGATGTTTGACGCTGAAGGAAAGGCTTTGGATCCTGGCTCCTTAAAAAGTGGACAGGGATAATAAATAATCGGACTGAGATAAAAGCCACTGAGGGCAGGGTGCATTCGACACAAGGGTCAGCCCTCATGTCGGAGAGAAGTGGAGGGGAGGAGAGAGGAAAGGGGAGTGGAGGAAAGGAAAAGGGAGGAGAGGGGAAATAGGGAGAGGAGAAGGAAGGAGAGGGAAGTGGATGGGAAGAGAGGAGAAGGAAGGAGGGAAGGAGATGGAAGGGGAGGGGAGGAGAAGGAAAGGGGAGGAGAGGGAAGTGGAGGGGAGGAGAGGAGAAGGAAGGAGGGAAGGAGATGGGAGGGGAGGGGAGGAGAAAGAAGGAGGGAAGAGGGGAGGGGAGAAGAAGGAAAGGAGATGGAAGTGGAGGGGAGGAGAAAGAAGGAGGGAAGAGGAGGGAACTGGAGGGGAGGAGAGAAGAAGGAAAGAGGAAAGGAGATGGAAGGGGAAGGGAGGAGAAAGAAGGAAGGAGAGGGAAGGGGAGGAGAGAAGGAAGGAGGGAAGGAGAAGAGAAGGAAAGAAGAAAGAAGATGGAAGGGGAGGGGAGGAGAAAGAAGGAGGGGAGGGGGGGAGAAGGAAAGAGGAAAGGAGAGGGAAGTGGAGGGGTGAAGAAGAAGAGAGGGAAGTGGAGGAGAGGAGAAGGAAAGAGGAAAGGAGAGGGAAGTGGAGGGGTGAAGAAGAAGAGAGGGAAGTGGAGGAGAGGAGAAGGAAAGAGGAAAGGAGAGGGAAGTGGAGGGGAGGCGAGAGGAGAAAGAAGGAGGGAAGAAGAGGGAAGGGGAGGAGAGGAGAAGAAAGGGAAGGAGAAGTGAAGGAAGGAAGGAAGGAAGCAGAGGGGAGAAGGGAAGGGAGGGAAGGAGAAGGAAAGAGACAGAAACAGATGGACTGTTGTAAAATGGAAAATGTGATGTATTATAAAGGAAAATGTGTAATAAAAACATTTTAAAAAATAACAATCTGAAGAAAGCCTTTTCGCTCACCAGCATGCCCAACTGGACGGCTAACATGGCCACCCTGGCTTCCAGCTCTGGTTCTCGTTCAGCCTCCCGCAATGCCTTGGCTCCCCGGGCATGGCCCATGTTCCCCAGGCAGACTTTGGCGACATCCAGCCTTTGGGTCTTCACGCACATGCAGGCCATGTTCTCCCAGACGGCTTCGCTGCAGAATGCAAGAAGAAGGGACATAGTCCAGTCAAGATTATGAAGACCATCATGAACACAGACGTGTGAACTGGCCCTTCTGCAAGAGAGAAGACCTCTTGAGGGCCATAGCTTGGTAAAGGTAAAGGTTCCCCTCGGACATCTGTGCTACTCGTTCCCGACTCCAGGGGGTGGTGCTCATCTCCGTTTCAAAGCCGAAGAGCCAGCGCTGTCCGAAGAGGTCTCTGTGGTCATGTGGCTGGCATGACTAAACACTGAAGGCGCATGGAACGCTGTTACCTTCACACCAAAGGTGGTCCCTATTTTTCTACTTGCATTTTTTTACATGCTTTCAAACTGCTAGGTTGGCAGAAGCTGGGACAAGTAACGGGAGCTCACTCTGTTACGTGGCACTAGGGATCCGAACCGCTTGAACTGCTGACCTTTCTGATCGACAAGCTAAAAGTCTTAGCCATTGAGCCACCGTGTCCCTTTTAGCTTTAGACTGATGGGCAAACCAAGCACCTGGCCTTTAGATCGTCATGAATGGGAGGGCCACGTTCTCCCAGACAGCTACCCTCCAGAATGCAAGAAGATGGCACACCGTTCAAGTCAAGCTACTGTATGAAGACCTTCAAGAACACGGAAGGGTGGACCGGCCCTTTTTCAGAAGACAAGGAACCCATAGAAACCATCGCTCAGAGCGGTGGTCTCCGAACTTAGCGATGTTAAGACTTGTGGGCAAGCAGAGTTGGCTGAGAAATTCTGGGAATTGAAGTCTACCAGTCTTATAGTGGCCAAGTTTGAAGACCCCTGACTTAGGAGGGATGTCTAAACCAAGGCCAGAGGATCAGAGACGTAATACTAACTCAATGGATCTAAGTTAGCCAAGCTGGCTTGTTAGAACTGGCTTCAGCTGAGTCTGTTCTATGACTGAAGACTGAATCCAACTTCTAAATTTTTGTTTTGATCTTCAACGGGCTCTCTTTTCATTGCCCAGGCTCATCAAAGGATGATTGCATTCACTCAGATAGACCCAAAAAAATATTATGAAGCCATAAACTGTTCAACCCTTCCCCCACTATATCAAACTGGGAGAATTTCCTGAGTTTATCTTTGGAACTCTACCTCACATCTGTCCTTCATCAACTCTAGCTTGCTGTTCTAATGAATACCAGATGCAGTGGAGGAAGGGCGCGCACATGGCTGCCTTTTGTTCCTGCATTTAAAGAAGAGCACACTGACCCTCTGGCCGTACGAATTCTGCATCTCGAACCGCAAAAGCGACCCGTAGAACTGCATACGGGAGCGCTCGAGGCTTAAGGAGAAGTTCCCCAGTTCATGAACCCACTAAAGCGGTGTGGGGACAGCAGCCCAGAAATTAAAAGAGGCTTGCTCCTGGGGAGGAAAGCGATGGCAAATCTAGACAGCATCCTAAAAAGCAGAGACATCCCCCAGAAACAAAAGTGTGTATAGCCAAGGCTGTGGTTTTCCCAGTTGCAATGGATGGCTGCGAAGGTTGGACCATAAGGAAGGCTGAGCGCCAAAGAATGGAGGCCTTTGAACTTGGGTGCTGTCCAGAATTCCAAGCCAAAGGCCCGATCTCACTATCTTCACTTATGCTGGTCAGGAATTTTGAGATTTGCAGTTTTAGCACATCTGGAAAGAAGTGGGTTGAGGAAGACCGTCATAAAAAGTAGGGCAGTGAGGATACTTCTAGATTTCGGAAAGGATTGGCCATTAGTCTTCTTGGTGTGGGTCCTTAGGACACTTTCAACCATCAAAAATATACACTGGTGGCCAAACATCTGAGGGGTTTTTTAATCAAGTTTTTAATTTTATATTCTTATATACATATCGATGTGTGAATGGGGTGATCCCTGAGTATTATACATTTCAATACAAATAGACATAGTATTATTACTCATAGTTATTAGATTTCATTTTTATTATTTCATATTATTTACCCATGTCTTTTACTACCCTGTTTCCCTCAAAATAAGACCTCCACGGATAATAAGCCCAATCGGGCTTTTGAGCGCATACGCTAACATAAGCCCTCCCCAGAAATATTGCAACACAGCGGCAGCCATGAGATGACTACGCTCGGCGCCTCCTGCACCTCAAAAATAATAAGACCTCCCCGAAAATAAGGCCAAACACTTATTTCAGGGGTCAAAAAAATAAGACCCTGTCTTATTTTGGGGGAAACACGGTGCCACCCTTTTTACTCTTTCATATATATGTATATGTATGTGTGTGTATGTACAACAACAAAACAACAACGGACACACAGCCAGCACCAATCAGCACCAATCTACCAATCATGATACAACCACCCAGCCAATCCACTTACTGAAACAAAGCCAGCTCTCCAAACCCCCCCCACCAAGATTTATAGAAAGACGGCAGCTCCGACCATGCTTTAAGCCGAAGACGCCAGCCTGAAGATGGCGAGTGAGACCTTGTCGAAACGTTGCCAAGACAATCTCAATCTTACACGGGAAAAGACCCAAATACAACAAGACCAGCATACCTACACCAGTGATAATCTACGAATAGACACACACACACATAGACACACAGACACACACACACACACACACACAC